AGAGAAACTGGTATATAATGTACATGCATGAACATACTTCAATTTAAAGTCAATTTGTTGTCGTCCAAAAGGAATTTAATTTAAAATGAAAAGTGGTACATAAAAGTTATGTGCCTGAATTGTAAAATTATCATGATTTACAATAGTTAGTGTGTTATACTGCATAGCACTAAATTTATGTGTGGGGAAAACTTTGTCAAAGTCCTTTTTTCTAGCAAATTTTTGTCATTCTTCTATAATTTGCTTACTATAGAATGTGGAAGCATGTTAATATTTTTTTCACAAAAAAGCACCTTAAAGAAATTCACAAAAATTATAGTCCCTGATAGAAAATTAGGTGCTCTATGGTATGCAGAACCTCTTTTTAGAGAGTAAAAAAGAAAAAGAAATTTTACAAGAGAAGATGTCATTATTGAAAGGTCAACTGTTTGATAAAGAAAAAGAAACTGAAGCATTAGCAGAAGACATTAAATGTAAGGATAAATAGAATACCTTATTTATTTAAAATTCCCATTAGTATTGAAATCAAAGTTACACCAATCAGGTCACACTTCAACTGATACCTGGCATGAAGGTACACTCACACAATGATGTGAATTGATTTTAAATTACAGATATGCATGTTTATTTTATATAGTTAGTGTACTAGTTGGCAGTGGTCGTATCAAAGGCATGTAAATGTAATAATGTTTGTCACTGCATACCACAGGCATAACTTACTTACATTGTGAAGTAGTCAACCCATCATGTTCAAAAATAGTCTTCTAAAAAATTTTGTCTCAAATGTTAGCCTAATTTGCTTGACCAATTGTTTAACAAGTCAAAGTATAGTAGTAATTGTGGTAATCGCTATGAATAGAGATTTATTAACTTGCATTATTTCTATCCTACATGTTGATCATGAAGAATCACAGCATGAAGAAGCAACTGCTCCAATACCTTGTACTGAGATTAGTTCAGACTTAAATAGTAGGACATCAACATGCAGTGAATATTAATTAATGTATATTTGCGTATAGCTAAAGTGGTAATTTCCCGTACTGGTATAAAGAGTGCAGCATATGTTGGACTGATTTTTTATGAGGAGAAGAGAGCTAAAAATTTAGTCTATTTTACTGCTGCTAAAGATCTTACTGCACTACTTGAAGTAAAATATTATTCTACATGTATTTTTTGAAACATTTGCATGACAGTTTATTCACAAGAAGCACTCTCAAGCTGAAGTTGGGCCTGCTATTCCATTTCAGTTCAAAGATGATGTTGGATATATTGAATTGAAGTTTGATGCTCCACAAAAGAAGCCTTACACTGGATGGAGTATTGAGCCTCATGTTGAGCCTTGTAGAGTAAGTACTGCAATATAATGTATAACTGATGGTTTGTATGTGTATATTAATAGTTGTATCGTCATGATGTTGATAAGTTTGGTGATACTTGGTATTCTATTCCTCCATATTGTCTGGTATCAGTCTATGGATCACCTGGTGCTGTACCATCACTACATTACTCTGTACCACTGGATGGAGTGGCTGATCCTGTTACATTATACATTGATAGATCACTGATGAGAACTGCTCCTTCTCCTCCTTCAACAATACAAGGTACTAGCTCAAGCTCCTCTACTGCTATCAGTCAAACTAGGAGAGAGACTGAAGAAGGTATTGTTGAATAACACAATAATCACTGAATTTCTATCATTAATAGGTACATTTATATATAGATCTGATATTGCCTATAAAGTAATGATAGAATGTGCTTCATTAATAAAGGATTGTGGGATTGATACTCACTTCTTGGTTGACAAGTTGTTGGAACATAAGATTATCAATGCAAGAGAGAAGAGAAGCCTAACTGATGGCTACACTACACAAACTGCTGGCAAAAGGTGGGATGATTTGCTCCTCATCATTTCAAGGTCCATTAGAGTAGATGGAGAAGTATTTGGTATATTCTTAGACATACTGAGAGAGGAAGGTACTAGAAGAACTATTGCACTAGCTGATAAATTGCTACAAAAGTATAATGCTCCTGACCAACTTCAATTTGATGTTGGTAAGACTTATTGTTTTATCAGTTTTTAGCATAATAATTTAGTTATAATTAATATTGGAGCCAGTAATTATAGCCAGCTTAAAGTTAACTCTTAGTGTGAACTTAATTAGAAGTCTTTTAATTTTGTTCAATGAAATTTTAATTATGGTACATGTACATGTACTCATGTAGTCAACCCCTTTCTCAGGCTTGGTACCTATATGGCAATACACTAGTGCTTGGTAATTATTTTATTATTTATTTGTGTAGCAGACCATATAGTACACTGTTCATTAAATTTGTTATATCATTAATAGGTACATTTAGGTCTGATATTGCCTATAGAGTAATGACAGAATGTACTACAATGATAAAGGATTATGGGATTGATATTCACATCTTAGCTGAAAATTTGTTGGAACACAATATTATCAATGCAAGAGAGAAGAGAGAAATAACTGATGGCTACACTACACAAACTGCTGATGAAAGAATGGATGAATTACTCCACATCATTTCAAGCTCCATTAGCATGGAAGGAGAAGTATTTGGTATATTCTTAGATATACTCAGAGAGGAAGGTACTAGAAGAACTATTAAACTAGCAGATAGACTAATGGATAAATATAATAATTTTTAGAATAATGATGTGCTTGAGATAAGAATGAGAGAGAAAGCTTTGAAATCACTAGTTTAATTTTGTAATTATCATTAACAATTCAATGGAGGGTGGGATGGGGTTGCTTGGATACTTAGAGTTGTAAATAATTGTACATTGAGAAGAGGATGATATCAATAAGACGCGGACTAACTGCTAATCAAAGAATAGATGAGCTGCTTAGTTTAGTTAAAGCATCCATTAGAGAAGATGGAGAAGATTTTGGTTTGAAATAATTAAACAAGAGAATACAAGAAGAGCTGATAGTCATAGCACAGACACTATTAGACAATTATAAAAGATAGTTATAATTTTTATTATTAAATAATAAATAAAATTAAAAAGTTGAAACACAAAAATAAATTAGAAAATGTTCCTGCAGAGAGGACAACTGCTCTTGTTACTAGTACTGAACCATTTATACTGAAAAGAAATAATAAAATAAATAATAACTGAACAAATGAGTACAATATCTATTCACTGTATCAACACTCAATAAAATACATGTACATGCACTACCTTACCAGACATGATGAATGGAATCTCTTCTTGCAAGTTCTACATATCATTTTAGGTAGTGAATAATTAGATCCATGAATGATACTGAAGCATATCATGCAGTCATCCAAACC